CTACAGCACTGAGGAAGAGTCACGTCGCTGTGCCCAGTTCCTGCAGCTGTTGAGTCCCCACAGGGCCAAGGCACGGACCTCGGAGCTGTGCTGCAGGCCAGCTCCCCCCACACTGTTTGGTCTGGACCACAGAGGCGCGTGACACCAGAAACATTTACGACGCCAAGGCTCCTCACAGATGTCTCTGCAGAAGACCTTCCCACTTTACCTTACTACACAGAAATCAGTACAACCCTTCCTAGGGAGGAACAAGCTATAGCCATAAAAAAAGGAACAACTTTCCCATTTAGGGAAAGCAAGCAGGGTCCTTCCTATGGGATACAGCCCTGCATCTTCTAGGGCTGGTATAAAACCAGGAGTTCAAAACCATCACATACCACAAACATGGGGATGCTGGAAGGCAGGTGTGAATTTGCTCTGCCTGGGCTCTCAGCCAGTGCGAGGGAAGCCATCTGAGATCCTCCAAGCAGTGGTGTGTGACAGAGTCTGGGACTAGACCCTGTGCTCACACCCTCCCACAGCCCTAAGGTCAGAGACAACTGATCGTCCCTCCACCGTGCCCCTCACACGGGGCACACGCAGGGCCTGGCAAGCCTCATGCATTGCACAGGAACTCCAACACCAAAGTTGAAGCTTCAATCATGCTCTTCCACTCCAGCACTGCAACCTTTGTCCACATTCAGGAGCTGAGCCAGCAGCCAAAAGCAGCAAGACACCTTAGACCCTCCCATTCTCTTCAGGGCTCAGCCTGCTGCTCTCAGCATCTTTCCTGTACTTCTCCAGCCCTTCTTTGATGCATAAAAGCCACAGAAATGTCCAGCAGGATTCAGGCATATACATTGTCACTAGACACATGCTCATTCATGAGGTCATCCGATGCAGACAGTTCTCTTCCCTGGCCCTACCGATGGGGAGGGCATGCTCTGCTCTGCTCACCAACACCATCTCCTGGGTAAGGTCACCAAGCAGAAGGGAGGCAGCAGCACAGCCCCGTGATGGTACCGGGGAAAGGCTCCCATGCCCAGGAGTGCAGCCAAGTAGCAGGCTTCGTTTGCAGCTCCAGGACTAGCGTGCCAATTCAGTACCTTGAACACATACCTGGCATTTTGTTCGATGTACTGAATTGGCACGCTAGTCCTGGAGCTGCAAACGAAGCCTGCTACTTGGCAGTCCCGTGCTTCAGAGAAAAACACACTTAGGAGGCCTGCAGACGTGGCTCACTCCAGCTGTTAAAGTAACACTACACCCATGGGCCAAAGCTCACGGTCTTGTAGGCTCCAGCTGATGATGGTGACATTTCCACTTCTGGGATTACATGCTAGGGTCAGAAGATCACTGTGAAATGGTTCCTCAGAAGACAGGACACTAAACCTTCACTTTCACCAGCCTAAAGAAAGAAATATGCAGCACATAATGCCCAAAACTGACCTCTCTTGACATCTTCAGTATTACTGTCTAGATGTGTCCACCAGCAACACATGGTTCTCATAGGCCACACAGAAACCAGAGGTTAGGGAGCACTCAGCTGTGACAAGGGAAGATGGCCTGTTCAGCCTATGAGGACAGGCTGAGAGAGTTGTTTGCCTGAAGAAGAAAAGACCCTGAGGAGACCCTATAGCAGCCATCCAGTACCTGAAGGGGCCTACAGAAAAGCTGGAGAGGAGATTTTTGCATGGCCATGTGGTGACAGGGCAAGGGAGAATGGCTTAGAACTGAAAGAGGACAAATCTAGGTTAGACATCAGGAAGAAACTATTTCCTGTGAGGGTGGTGAGACACTGGAACAGGTTGCTCAGGGAAGCTGCAGATACTCCCTCCCTGGGAGTGTTCAAAGCCAGGTTGGATGGGGCTTTGAGCAACCTGGTCTAGTGAAAGGTGTCCCTGTCCATGGCTGAGGAGTTAGAACTAGATGATCTTTAAGGTCCCTTCCAACCCAAACATTCTATGATTCTAAGAACTGAACAGACAGAGGTTGTTTGTCTTTCTCTTCTGTCCTCCTTCTTTTCCTGCTCTTTTCTGAGATGCCTCATTTAGGAAACAGTTTTTGGCTATTGCATTGACCACAGAGCTTCTGAAAACCCATATTGCCCACTGCCCTCCTTCCTGTGCAGGGAGACAGTTTTCTGCCCTTTCCAACACAAGTCACAATCCTGCATACAGTTTTGATCATACCTCTCCTTCTTGGAGAAGTGCAGCAATTTTTATTCCCCATACCAACTGTTACAGTATTGAGCTTGCTTTAGGTAAGCAGAGGAGAAGGGAGGGTAGAACACTAAAGGACATAAGTCCAGCTTCATGGGAAGCAGAGCCTTAGGGACATGAAAGACATCAGCTTGATCTGCATGGAAGAGGCAAGAGCTAATGCAGGGCTGGCACCTGCCTCTCTATTGTACCAAAAGCTGTGTTTGCCTCATCCTCAAGAACAACTTCTTTCTATTCCCAGTGCTTTGCCTTGGGCTAATCTCTGAGAAAGGGATGCAGTTTCTCAGCTCTATGCTTCTCAAGCTCGCTGTCCCAAGCCATGTTTCTCAAGCCCTGAGACACAATGCAGTCACTGTTTGACAGAAGCATCCATAGTTCATGCCAAAGAATGATGAGCCAAGCACAAGACAAGCCTAATGCATTCATCTAGTACAGCAGAACAGGGATGGCTCATACACCACTCTTGCAGCATCCCCATCCTCTGTATATCAGCACTTGGACTTCTGAGAGATGTCTGAGGTCAAATCACAGCCATCAGTCTTTCCCTCTGATGCAGTGCAGAAATATCCCATATCTTGCAATGCAACTTTCTACTGCCCCTCTGCCACAGGTCCCATTCTTCTTTGCCTCAATCTCAATCTTAGGCTCATTCATTTTTGCTGCACCAGCTCAGACCTGCTGTACTCAGTGCTGTTCTGATCCCAAACCTTCACAGAAATCCCTCAACCTAGTGGAAATATCTGTTGAAAATGGTTCCATTGCCATGGGGCATGATCCTTAGCAACCAAATAGACGGGTTAGGTGTTGCGAGCCTGCTTAAATTCAGAGAAAGGAGATTTTTGAGCTTGCTCACTCAGAAACACACAGGCTTTGTCCATAAGTAAAAGACATGGGGAGTGGGAAATAATGTATTTGCATAAAAATTCAGGCTATTCACTTTCTACTTTATTTAGTAAAATAAATTGAAAAGTTCATGTGATGTCAAGCAACCAATCTGTTCCTAGTGCCAGGAGAGGCACAGTGGATTCCCGGCATGGCATCAAAAGCAAAGACAACGAAGGAAACACATCTCTGGGATCTACAAGCTTTATCTCTGATGTTGCAATTTTGCCAAATCATCATTTGCTTCAACAGAGGTGGCATGGAAGGACACAATGTAGGGCAATACCAGGCCTCCTGGAGTACTGAGAAAATAGAGCAGGAGCCAACAAATGACAAGGGAGAAGAGATTCCTAGAGAGAACAGGCAGCATATATGTACATAGCATGGAGATGGGACTCTGTGACTGACTTGGCCCCTTAATCCTACTATCCCAGGAATTCCTGAGCTCAGTGAACTCTTCACACACCACAAACTGATTACTCTGGACACAGTCATTCTGTTGGCTGAGAAAGAATCAGAGTTCCTCGTTGGGGACATTATCCTGAGGTTCATCTTCTTTCTAAAACACATTAGAGGCATGAAATAAGTTTTGACATTTCTCAGTTTCTCAGCATAGTGATAAAATGAAACAAACCAACTTAAATGCTTCCTTCCACTCTCTATACCACTACCTTGCTTATCCCATTTCAATTGCACACAAAACCTCTATGCTACAAGAAGATGATTTTTGAAAGAGAGAAAACTATTAACACTGAAGGAACATGGAGATTAAATTGTGCCTGTCCAAGCAGAGACCACTGGTAGAGTCCTGAGCCCTTGTCTGTATGCTCTATTCTGTGGCCTTCTTGATAGATTTCCTTCCTATCTATGCCACTGTCTGTACGATCCTCTCTTATGTGCTGTCATCCACTACCCCCATTCTCAGTGTCCAAAAGCATCTTTCACTGTCTCCCCAGCTGCTGTTCCCAGAAAATAGATGCTTCACTGAGCATGTACAGTTGCAGAGGTCAGTGAAGTCTTCTTGCTGTAGACTAGGTCAGGGAAGAAAGAGGCTCTAGATCTAATGCTTTTCAGATACTTAGGTGCAAATTAAAATGAAAGAGGAGGTGGCAGGGGTGGGAAGGAGTTCAAGGAACAGAAGGCATCTTCTTCAAGAGCCCTGTTAGTAACAGCATTGTCCTACAAGATCCCAGCTTCCTGTAGACTGCACAGGAGTCCCCCTTTACCTTCTTTAGTCTTTGTAAGAAATTATTACAGAAGTCCTCTACACGCTCAACAGAGACTTCATTCACAGTCAGCACATCCTGCTCCTCATCTGGTGCATGGAATATAGCTAGAGCTGGCAGCTGGGACTTCTTCAGATTGAAGAATGACACTACTCGTTCATTGCTCTTCAAATTGCTGTCTAACAGGATGAAGAGAACCTGTGATGGAAATAGGAAAAGAAATGTGATCAAAACAGAAACTGAGAGAAAGAACAGATTCCCAGTGATCAGAAAAAGATTAATTCTTTTATAAAGATCTAGAGAAAACTTAACATACTCTGTAAGGACAATGCTTTGCTCTGCCATTATCTAACTGCTCCATGCAGTGTGTTTTTCTATTTTTTTATCACATCTAGACTTACACTACCAAAAACCATGTCTTCTTTCACCTTCTTTAAGAATGTATCTACAGTATTGCAGGAAGGCAGTCTCCACATCTGTTCTCCTAACAGATGAGGAAACAAGGTGTCTTTTATCTTAGTGGTACATGTGAAAGAAGCTGACCCCTCTACTTGCATGTTATTTGGATAAGATGCTCACGTCCCTGCAAGACCCAGAGTGGCAGAGTAAAAAGGTGTTTTGGTGCATGGAGAACCAAACTCAACTGCAAGAATGGGGGAGTGAGGTACAGAGCAATAGGAGCCTACAAGAATAAGAACATTAGAGTACCAAACACAAAGGAGGTATTTACATGATCTGCAGTGAATAGAAATGAAGTTGCAATCATTTAAGAAACTGGGCAAGACAGCCCAAAAATGAATAAGCCAGGATGAGAATGACCTATAGTTTTCTGGGCTCCTGAATAGTCTTGGAGAGCAAAATCAAGCCAAGGATTAGGATTCCACAGGGATTTTTCAGTAGTACATATTTATCAGAATTGGTGAACTTCTCCATTATTTTATTTTAAGAATTAATTTTAACTGAGATCTTCCAGGAGAAGTAAGAATTAGTACAAATTTAAAATTTTGGCATCTAAAAGATTATCAGTAAAATACAGAGTTATCTCAAAAATCTTTCTTAAATTGTATGTTAATACTAAATACCAACATTATGTATATTTTTAATAAAAGAAAATATAAACAGCTATTGACCTAATTAAATAGAATCCCTTGGTAGGTGACATCCAAGCCAGTGAAAGAAACATTCAGCCAGTTTATCTTCTCTTTATCCTGTGCAATGCACTGGGCTTAACATATTTGATGTATCTATGGACAGGGTTATTACTTAACTTACACAATAAAAAATAAGAGTTTAAAAACAGAAGAGAAATGCAATATGAAGATGATGTGCCCAGTTCACATGCTGTGACTCATGTTTTTCTTTCTTTTCAATCAAGAACACCCAAGTCAGTTCAAGACTTTTTTCTTCTCTAAAAATAAACTTGGTAAAACTCAAATTCTTTACTTTATTAAATTTATGTTCTATGAAAAAAAAAAATAATAAAAAAAAATATAAATATATATGGAAACTTTCCGAGGCAACAGCCTGTGTGCAGGAGGGGTAGTTTGTCTGGTGTAAGGCTTAATTACAGTTAATCACTGTGATATAGAAACAGGAACAACATTTTCACTGGTACCCAGCATCTTCCCCTGAGTAATGTATTTTGTTCACACATCCCCAGCCAGCTCTAATAATATAGAATGAACGCAGTGACTATGGAGAAGTAGACTGACCAGGAGACAAGATTCACTTTGCCTATCTTCTGCTATCTAGATCTTAATCTTTTGTCAGCCAGTCATCTAGGTAACCTCCAGAATTAATGGTAACAGGCACTTTATTCCACTTATTTTAAAAGGGAAGAAAGGACATGTCTGTCCTTTTCTACCAGCACTGAAAAGGGCCCAAAGACTTTGATCACACAACTAAGTCTATAATTCATCAAAACAATCCCACTATGGTGCCCACTCTCATGCCAGTGCTAGAAATAAGGTAGTTCCAACCCAAACAGAAAATTCATTTGGTATTTCATACTATCCTGTACACTAGCTGGGGTTTTTTTCATTCTGAAATAATTTCCATTAAATTCTTTCATTCAATAGCAATCTTCTTGACAGTGCTCAGAGGTCTGCTGCTACAAGCAGTGAAGGATCTGCATAGGTGAGAAACTCCTGACACAAATCCTCTCCTCCACGCGTGATATTATCTGTGCACTGTCACCTGCAATAAGCACTCTCTCAGAAAACTTTGTATACTGGTTCTGTCTTGGTGTCTTGATAACTTGATTCCTAGCCCAGTGCTTTTAGAACATCAAGTTCCTCGTAAATACTAAGATATGGAATTATGTGCTTTTAGAACATTGAGTTCCTGGTAAATACCAGGAAGATATGGCATGATGTTATTGACCAAGGAATTAAAGTTAATTGAAGATAATACTGTAATGGTAGAAACCAGTCTGATGTTGCTTAGTTTTTCCTCTATCTAACTAAAGACAAACAGAAAAGATGATCAAGCATCATGTCCGATGTTTGACTTTGAACTTCATGGAACTGCAGCCTTAATTCTTTGAGGAGACTTTATGAGCAAAAAGATAAAATTCTAAAGTTTGATTAATTTCTTACATAGCTTACATAGTGCATGGAAGTAAAACAAAAACATGAGTCATTACTTAAAAAAAAAGCAAACTATAAAAACAACTTTAATGGAGATATCTGTTAATTTACATAGACAACCCAAATATTACAGGTTTCATTGTTTATGGGTAAAAGAGGCATCTCTGAGTATTATCTCTCTTACTTTTGGAGCCATCAATGTCTGGCAAGAAAAATAGAAAGTGTATTAATTACTGTCTGCAAAAGGAAGAACACTGTCCTTTCATTTCCATGGAAGAACTCCCGAAGGACTCTCAGGAATTTCTCAGAACCTATTTCTAAATTGGCCTACATATAAGTAAAAACTGACTTTGCAAACATCTCTACCCAAATTATTCTGATATTGTAAACCAGTTACATCAGTTACAGCAAAAGCTGCTTTTGTTATCCCTAGCATCACCTTACTGAAACTTCTGCAAACACCCCTGAAGTACACCAGCTGCAATTGTCATGTTACGCTCTGATACTGTGGAAAGAAAACTGAAGCTGCTTATGCTAGTTTGGCTCAACAATGCAAATCTTGACATTTCCTTTCCAGTAGAAAGCCTGGACTCTTGGCAGTACTTTCTCAAATAAGCACATATTTGATCACAGTAGGATCCTTCCAAGAAGGCTGGTGGGTTCACTCATACAGCTGCAACACTGAGCTCTGTCTGTTCACTGTTACCATCCACAACTGTTTCTCAAAATCTGCTAGAAAAGTACCATATTTCTTCTTATTCTTGTCAGCTCTTGCTGGCACAGCATCATCTAATATTTGCACTCTACAGCATTTTATAGCTCCCAGGTTCCACAATAAAATCTAGAGGAACCTAAACTGCCTGCAGACACTGCTGCTCAGAGCACAGTTCAGGTTGTTTTCAAACTGTCCTGACTGTACAGCATCATCAGTTTTCCAGCTGAAAACCTCAGCTTTCTCTCAGGCACAAATAAACAGATAATAAACCTTAAATGAAGGGATCATAATTCTGGTACTAGCAGGAGAATCACTTCTTCATGAACCTGAGCTCACTTGATAGTCCTCGCAACAGATAACTCCACTTAAGAAAGATTTCCATGGCATTGTACAGTGCTGCTTCTGATACTCAAACTAATTCATGTCTTTCTACGTGGTAGAGCAAGAGAGACAAACCTAAGTGTACAAACCAATTTGCACACTCCTTAGTATCCAGATCCTAAGATCTGGTCCTGCCTGATGAACTTCATCTCCTTTTATGATCTGATGACCCAACTATTGGATGAGGGAAAGGCTGAAGATACTGTCTATCTGGACCTCCAAAAAGCATTTGACACAGCTCTGCATAGAACTCTCATAAAAAAACTGGCTGCTCATGGCCTGGATGAGCACTCGATCTGTTGGATCAAGCACTGGCTGGACAGTCAGGCCCAGAGAGTGGTGGTCAATGGAGTCAAACCCAGCTGGCAGCCATTCACAGGTGTGTTCCTCAGGGCTCAGTGTTGGGACCGTTTCTGTTTAACATCTTTAGTGATGATCTTGATAAGGACATAGAGTGTATTATCAGTAAGTCTGCAGATGACACCAAGCAGGAGTGTTGATCTGCATGAGGACAGGGTGGCTCTGCAGAGATAGATAGATCCTGGATAGATTAGATCGTTGAGCTAATGTTAATGGTATGATCTTCAACAAGACCAAGTGCCAGGTCCTGCACTTGGGCCACAACAACTCCAGGCAACACTCCAGGCTTGGGGAAGTGTGGCTGGAAAGTGTCTGGCAGAAAAGGACCTAGGGGTTCTAATTGACAAGTGGCTGGATATGAGCCAGCAGTGTGCCCAGGTGGCCAAGAAAGCCATTGGCATCTTGGCTTGTATTAGAAATAGTGTGACCAGCAGAAGGAGGGAGGTGATTGTCCCCCTGTACTCAGCACTGGTGAGGCCACACCTGGAGTATTGCATCCAGTTTTGGGCACCTCAACTCAAGAGAGATATCGAGGTGCTGGAGCGAGTACAGAGGAGGGCAACGAAGGTGGTGAAGGGCCTGGAGAATAAATCTTGTGAAGAACACTTGAAGGAGCTGCGAATGTTTAGTTTGAGGAAGAGGAGGCTGAGGGGAGACCTCATCAGTCTCTACAAGTACCTGAAAGGTCATTGTAGAGAGGTTGGTGCTGGTCTCTTCTCACAGGTCATTAGTGATAGAACAAGAGGGAATGGCTTCAAGCTGCAACAGGGGAGGGTTAGACTGGACAATAGGAAAAAAAAATCACAGAAGGAGTGGTTGGAGACTGGAACAGGCTGGACAGGGAGGTGGTTGAGTCACCATCCCTGGATGTGCTTAAGGGTCGTTTGGATGTGGTGTTGGTGAATACGGTTTAGGGGAGAACTCTGTAGAGTAGGGATGATGGTTGGACTTGGTGATCCTACAGGTCTTTTCCAACACGAATCATTCTATGATTCTATGATTCTATCTAAGACCAAAACAGTGGGATCTTAGCTTTCCCTTCCTGCTTTGTAAGATGGCAGTCCAAATGACAATTTCCTTCTCACAGTGTCACTCCTTCAGCAAAAACAACTTATTAGACTCTAAGTCCTTTCATCTATGTGTCCTGCAGAACCACTATGGCAAAGTAGAAAAAAGTTAGTCAAATCACGACATCTTTAATTTCTATATTTTACTCTGGCTAACTTTTTAACTTGCTTGCATGAAGAAAGGAAAGATAGGTTTGGCTTGCTGTCAATTCATAAATTGACAGCAGTACAACATTTTATCAAATGTTTTGTGAAGTAGGAAGGAGAAGTATTCACATTTGCTCAGATCTGGGCATGTCACATGAAAAGAAAACTGACTGCAGCCACATCAGCAAAGGACAGTGATGCTATAGAGCAATGCACTGTGGTAGAAAAATTAGCTGCCTGGTGAAGTCCTGTACCAGATTCTGCTGCTTATGGAGGATAGGAATAGCAGTGTCACTGTAACATGCATCTCACACGTGATGGTTAGATTTTTTTAGATTAATGAGTTTTATCATTATGTATTCATCAAAGCAAAACACTTTTGAAGAGACCTTTTGACTGATGCACCGTTTCTGCCTCGTCTCTTGCCAATTGGTAGGACAGATGGCAAGGTCTAAAGCAGTCCTCCCATAAACAAGTCTCAAGACATTTGAGGGTGCACGGTTCTGAGGTGGACCCTCTATTTGATTTTTAATCTGCTCCTTCAGTACCACATGCAGATGTTCTTGTTCTTAAACCCCAACTCTTTCCTGCTTCACTCTTCTCCTGGGAAGATCTCTTCCACTGCCTCTCAGCTCAGCCTTCCCTGCTGCTGTCAGCTGCTCTTCCCTCTCTCTTGCCCCAAATGCCTTCTCACGGCTTCCAATCCTCCTTTACTTGCCAGTTCCTTCCTCTGTTCCCCAGACAAAAATTCCTCTGTAATCCAGCAGCTGGCAGAGGATCAGCCATGGGACGATCTACTGTCTGAGGAGCTCTGCCCACAGAGGGATGGGAAACAGGTGAAATTTCTCTGAAAGACCCCATCTACCCTATCACACATGGGATGTGATATGAGGGAAATCTGACAAACCTATTCACAACTCCTTTAAAATAGCTACTCCCCGGGATCCGATCAGAAGGCTAAGGGTTAAGAAGCACCGTGAGGTTAATTACTGTCTGGTCACTTATATAATGCTCCTTGGCATCCTGTAGGCTGTATATACAAAATCACCTCCCACACCAATGGAGTGCAACCATCGCCAGACTGAACTGCAGCAGCTGTTTGTCCTCCAGTGCAAGAGAACAAAACTGGACCAGAAGCAAGGAAGTACATCATGTCCCACTGAGCAGGGAGAGGAGCAGGCTGCAGAGGATATTTTCCCCACAAGAAGGCAAAACAGGAGAAGTGGAACAGACCCAACCCCTCCACTTAGTTATGCAGCTTATCTTCTTCTCCCTGCCACTTGGCCTTTGCTCCCCTAATGCATGGAGAATGAGATTATGCACTTCCCATGCACAGAAGAAGTCACTGAATCACTGTTCTCCCTTTTTCTCCCCAGTGTCTCCCCTTCTTCTTTGTTTGGACTTACCTTCCCCTTGAAGAGCTCTGCTGCCGCCCGGTATTTGCGCATTCGCTCAGGGTGCTTTGGGGACATCTTGTCTGTGATCAGAAGGAGGTGAAGCTGGAGAGAACTCTGCATAACACCTATTGCTGTCTGCCAAAAACACAACCACCACAGATAGAGAGAGAAACATACATGGACAAGGAGATTGAGAACATCAAATCCACATTGGATGCACTGCCAGAGGGACATCAATCCTCATGTATCAGCTGAGATTTCTTTGCAAATCAGCCTCACAAGCAGAACAGCTTTCTTTAAGGCAGGAAGGATCCAATCTGGGTTCTTCACGGAAGTGCTTAACCTCCTGACTTTGCTTACTTCTGAGAGGAGAGTCTGAAGACCACAAGGGTTAATCACTTGCCTCAGGATAGTCAGTGGCTAGGCAAGGGGACTGCCTGGATACAGAAAGCTGAAGTCTAGAGGAAAAAGGGAATGGAGATGGAAGGCCAGCAAACACTGTCCATTAGGGTGCCTTGAACCATTGAGGTCCAGCACCTGGCCAAAATGGGAGCAAGAGAGTGGGAAGGATTTGTAGCGTTAGGGTCGTTGTCTTGCCTTATTTCCTTTCTTCAGCATTAAGCTGTGTGTAGGGTGGGGATGAGTCCAGAGACCCATTTCAGCAACCCCAGAGTGCTTAGAGTTAAAAGTGCCTCTGTTGTCCTGCGGCAGGAGAAGCCCTGGAGCCGCTGCCCCTCATCCCCTGGGCAAGGACCAAGCAGGCAGCACACACTGGCCCTCTGTGAAGAGACAGGGCTGGCATTGCCCAAGAAGCTGCTGCACCATCTCCAGGCACTCACTCACTCATCATCTCACTTCTCCTCCTGCCCACTTCCTGCAGACTTGCAGCCTCTCCCTCAAGCTAAACAGCAGCCCAGCCAGACCTGCTGCCTCCCCCGTGCCACCAAAACCACGGAGGCACAGACGGTGCAGCTCCCCGCCAGTGGGAGGAGAAAGTTTCCACACACTCCAGAAGTAATAAAGAAGGGGTCATGGAGTGCGTGTTGGCGGGGGCCATGCACTGCAAAGCATCTATTATTTGGCAGCCGGGACTCTGCCATTAATGTAATGTTTATCAGACTTTTTGCACCTCTTCACTTCTCTGGTGGTGTGTAGATGGGGCAGGGGAGAGTCAAGGGGATGTAAACCAAGGCTGGAGAGCATTAGAAGACCTCATAGGATAGGAAAAGGCTGAAGACGAGGGTTAAGTCAGCCAGCACCAAGGGCCATGACAAGGCAGGGCTTCAGAGTGGGCAGGGATGGAGCAGCAGTTCCTATGGCAGCTCCACACAAAGGTGTGCCTGTCCACATAGCCTTGTGCAAGAGCTATCAGCAGAGCTTATCAATGTGGCCAGGTCACATCAGACTCTCCCGGAAAGCCCACAGGGTAAGCATTGCCTAAAAATGCCTAAACTATGTGGGAGAAACAGAAAGGGCCTCAGGATGGGGAGAGAAAGTCTTGGCAGCTCTCAGTGTGATCCGCATGACCCCAGCCTCTGCTGACCAGCAGCATTCTTAGATGTAAACAGCATATGCACTGGGAATAAATATTGACACAAAACCAAGCAGAACTAGGAGGGCTTTGGGCCATGGACTGCAGGAGGCACTGTTAATTGCAGCACCTCGATAAGACTCCAGAGTGCCTGGGAAAAAACAAACAAACAAATAAAAAAAACCCAACAAACTGGAACAAGAAGTGTACTTCTAGTCAGGATGGATGAACTTGCTAAACAGCTCAGGAATTCTCAGAGAGACAGCCTGGATGCTGAACAGGATGCAATGGAGTGAGAACCCAAAGCATCAACAAAAACACATGAAGAAGGAGCCATGACCTAATGAACTGGCAAAAGATGCAATGGAGGCTCCAAGGGTTCAGAAGGCTGGAGTGTTTATAAAGATAACAAGCACATCCCTGCTGACGTGACGTGGGTGCTCTCAAAGGACTGTAAGGACAGCAGGGCAGAATATAGCTTTTCTGTCCCCACAAATATTCTGTGATTCTGAAACACCTTTTTCACATCCTTTTATCAAGATGAAAAAAAGAAGTACACTTTTTTTAAAAAAAAATTATCTTGGAAAGAAAAAAAAAAAATAACTTCTACAGTATTTCACTCCAGAAATAAAATTTTGTGCTTTCAAAACAAAATGCTCTGTCTACTGGCAGGCTGCACCTGAGCTGGGGAACATGTCAGCCCTCTTAGTTGATCCTGGCACTGGCTTGAAAAGGTTGATCTTCGCAAAAGGTTGGGCCGTTCTCCTTTGAGCCTGGTCATCACTGATGCAGCTATTCAAAAGTTCACAGAAGAGCCTGCCAGCAATGATAAAGTCTCAGCCTTGCAGTCATCAGAGCTTCTAAGACCCATTAGCTCCACAGCAATAGGCACAGTGGACTGCTGAGATTTCAGGGGAGCCTAAACCTTTGGCTATCATTTATAGAAGAAAGGAGCACTGGGAGCCAGTGATTGCCAGTCAGGTGGGTAAGCTAATGAAGATGGCTGACATGGAAGCATCTTATGTCTCATGTTTTTTGTTGAGCTGATGAATTCTGGAGAGGATGGGAAAAAATTTGTTTGGGAAGTTTCCAACTGGTTCTTGTATATGCCTTCAAATAGCTGGGCTTATGTCAATCACCTTGTGCTGGGTGATGAAGAAGGGCCTCCCTTCTGGGAGTAGGTTATTCAACTTTCCATGTTTCTCAAGGCTCCTCAGCAAAAGAGGGGGGATCCTGGCTCAGTGGGGTCTGCAGACATGGCACAACATAGCAAACGCCCATGGGAGGAAGCAGCACTGATGGCATGGGTGGTAAGAAGTTGAGCTCTCTGCCCATAAACACCCCAAATCTACTGGCAAGCTAAAGGAACTGCCATGCCTCACTTCCTTTCCCCACTCCATTCACACAGTCCAGCACAGCAGTCCCCACACAGAGTAGCAGTAAAGAGCAAAGAGCCAGTGTTCTCCCCAGCCCCATGCACACTGTTGCCACTACCCTCACATACATCTGGGGGTACAAACACTTGGGCCAGAGAATGCGCATGAGGAGGAGATCAAATGCCAAGGTGAAGGATGCAGGGAGCTGGTAATTACCACAGGGTTGTACTCTGTGACCAGACGGAGCTCATTCATCCGAACAAAACGAGTCATCTTCTCCACATCAACTTCTTTGTCATTCATATCCAGATCTCTCCGGTCATTGTCCACCTGAAGACAGGCAAAGACAGCTGCAGTCACAACCATCCTCTCCTCTCAGCATCCCCTTCAGAGGCACTCATGGTACTCACTCATGGACACACCCACCCCCTTGGACACCATCATCCTTCTTCCCCTTGCCACATAATCCTCACTTCTGAAGGTCCAAAACCTGTAGAGACCATTCTGCACTTTGAGATAACTGTCTTCCACCCTCCTTCAAGGCAAACTCACGGCAAAGCAGAAGTCACTGAGGTTTCCAGATAGCCCTAAAGTATCAGCTCCTTACGCACTGGAGACAGGGAGGATTAGCTGATCAACAATTCTAGGCATTGTGGGGAGAGATCATTAAATCTTGCCTAACTCCTCACATCAATTTTGGCTTTACATCCCTTTTAAAAATCTTCAACAGCTTATTCTATTTCTTCTACAAGTAATAAACATTGGCATGGGCCTGGATGGATTTCCTGGAAACATTATGCAAGCAGGAAATCTCTCCAATAAAAAGAGGGTTGTTTTTGTTTTTTTTCCAGTACAGTAGTGGGGAAAAAAAATAAAAATCAAGCCCCACACATTTTAGCTTTAGTGAAAAATCCATCCTGCCACACATCTCCCCACACTTTATCCCCCTACTCACATGATGTGATTTTATTGAGGTTCTCATGACCTGGCAAACAGAAAAAAAAAAAAAAAAAGAAGGCAACCATTGAATGATAACTAAACCACCCTAAGGGGCAGAGCTGCTATGCAGTACCACTGGAGGATGTGACCAAGTTGAGCCATGCTGGGCTGTGACACACTAAGATCAAAGTTTGGGACATGAAGGCCTTTGATACATGAGCTGAATGAGGTTCTTGGGGCTGAGGAAAGGTCCATATGCACCCACCAGATTTTATTCTCCGCATCTGTACAACCTCTGAAAATATTTGTGCTAGTTTTTCCAGTGGTGTGCAGACATTAAAGCACTTTTTGCTGTTCTGTGGTCATTGGCAAGGTTTTTGATCTGGTAAGGGGCCACAGCACCCCATCCTGCAACCCAAACTGGTGCTTTTCAGACTGGATGGCCTGATTTCTCTCACAGATTATAAAATGAAAGGGCAGCTCTACTCAAATACAAATTATCAGGGCAGCATTAACAGCTGAGTGGGTGAGTTCACAACACTCTTTGGGAACCAATCAAAAGCACCCTGGACTCCATGGAAAGTCTTCTCTTGACTTCCATGGATTTCTGGAAACACTTGATTTCCATTTGTGAGATAATAACATCTTCAATCTGCGCTCAACATTTATGATCTTAAGAATATAAGGCTGGAAAATAGCCTGTATCTAATAGTTGAAGCTCTAGTCAAAAGGTCTTTATCACTCCATATAACCAACTTGTTAGCATCTGTTAATTATGTTCTTTTTAGGTCTACAAGGCCAGATTACTCACTAGAATAAATCAGTTTCCCTCCACTATTTGCAAAGAAGCAGTGACAGCAGCCCCTCCTACTACTGTAATTATGGTTTAAACTTCTAAACGTTATAAGTGTTCCACACTCTGCAAAAGCAAGGAAAAAATGAGCTTATGCCTCTGATTCACTGCTATCCTAGTCACGCATCTTTGTATTCTTCAAATTAGTGTTTGATTCCAAGTTCCTGTCTCAGTTATTTTTTCTTTTCCTTTTTATCTCTGACCCCTTACTCCTACACGGTATTTAGCACAGAATAAAAGGAAAGTTAATGTGTCTGAATAGTTTACTTTAAGAAAAACTGACAATTAGAGAAGCGAATTGTCGACCACATTTGAACCTGACCTATTAGTTTATTGGCTGTTTTTTTTTTCCCTATTAAACAAGAGTTCAGCAGCAAAAAATTTGACTGTGAACAAAGAATATTCAATATCATCCAAATTCCAACAATCCAGACACTTTTTTTTAATCAAACACCCTCCCAATGCACTCAGCCTCACTATCTGCCACAGGACAAAAACAACCTTTTCAATGTTTTTGGAAGAAAACCACTATGACTAAGAACCAAAACTGACATGGGTGTTGCAATTGCAACATCTGCCCATAGCAAATAAAAGGTTAAATAAAAGGACCTGCCTACCTATTTCTCACTCTTAGATCATTCTCTTTGAATTATTTGGATAACGCCAGTGGTAAACACAGTGCAGGAAATGATGAGAAAGAGAGGGGAACAAACTGGTTTTGTCCAATCTTTAGACAACCTGGACCTAGAATTTGGCCAAACTGCCACATCTAGTTTTCCGCAGTATACACAGTGTGTCCCCAGGACCCTGTGTGCTTAGAGCTCTGGTGACATGGGGATTTAGGACATTTTGTGCTACCTAGGGCCCTTCTCCTCCTCAGATGTACCTCTCTGCACAGTTTTCGAGTGCCATATTTGTGTGAGAAGGGCTAATATGAGGAAATTCATATAACCAGTAGAATACTTGCTCTTGGCTTCTGTTGGTGGTCTTGAAGCAAGTGCATGGCCTTTCCCAGCATCATAACCTCAAATTTCAGCAAACAGAGCTTCAAATTCAGTGATGCACCAGCACTTACAGCTGGAGTCAACAAAGATTTGATCTTGCACAGCATCCATCCCTAAGAAACTGCAAAGTAACATTTTTAATGGGCCCATGTCCAAAGCTTACTCAGGGAATAACTCTGCAAAACACAGCATAGGAGACAGATGAGAGCATTTGGAATTTCTTTTGGTGGCAGAGCATCTCAAACGGCAGAGACCCAGTCTGGATCTGGTTTCAGCCACGATGGAAAAGTTGAGCACCCAGGGAGTGTCAGAGACAGCTTTGTCTGTCTGAAGTGACACTTGGCAAGATTTTATATCAAGCCTGCTGTGCCAATCCATTGTAACATGGTCTCTAGATGCTTTTGATGTGTCTCAGGAGCCTTTCCAAAGCCACAGAAACCCCATTCAAGTAACTCTGAACTCCAGGCAGGTCACTCAGAAACACGGGCATGGTTCTTTGCAAAGAAATGGGTGCTGGACCAGGTCCATGGGAGGTCTTAAAATAGAGAACCTCATCAGGTGTAATAAATGTTGTATGTCTCAGTGATGGGCACTCTGCAAATGAAAAGTAAAAGCCCTGTTTGGGGCAGGTGGGGTCGCCAATGAGAAGTCGTTTATTTTTTGTTGTTGTTGTTTGTTTGTTTGTTGGGGGTTTTTTTGTTTGGTTATTTTGTTTGGTTGGTTGGGTTTTGTTTGTTTGTTTGTCTTTTGGGGTTTTTTTCTGCTTGCCCTGAGGAGAGAAGAGCAGCTTCAATCTTCCTCTTTACCACGACTACCCGTAGCGTGCCTGCAGGCAGTTTTTAAGCCTTTGCCCTGGTGCCCCTGTCCCCAAAACCGGCGGGCAGGGGGAAAGCCTGAAGCAGAGCCCTCGTTTTGCAGACGCAGCCTTGTGCGCGGCAGGGAGCTGCTGGGGGGCTGCTGGGGCTGTGGGGCTGCGTGTGTGTGTGTGTGTGTGTGTGTGTCTGTGTGTCTGTGTGTGTGTCTGTGTGCCTGTGTGTGTGTCTGTGTGTGTGTCTGTGTGTGTGTCTGTGTGTGTGTCTGTGTGTGTGTCTGTGTGTGTGTCTGTGTGTGTGTCTGTGTGTGTGTCTGTGTGTGTGTCTGTGTGTGTGTCTGTGTGTGTGTCTGTGTGTGTGTCTGTGTGTGTGTCTGTGTGTGTGTCTGTGTGTGTGTCTGTGTGTGTGTCTGTGTGTGTGTCTGTGTGTGTGTCTGTGTGTGTGTCTGTGTGTGTGTCTGTGTGTGTGTCTGTGTGTGTGTCTGTGTGTGTGTCTGTGTGTGTGTCTGTGTGTGTGTCTGTGTGTGTGTCTGTGTGTGTGT